TGTCTTGATGTCAATCTTATGCTCTGTCTCAATTGTGTTTTGCGATCGATGAACATGGTTTTTATTTCCAACGCCAATCGGCTCTTCTGACTTTAACTGATTTTTAAAGCCACTTAGGTACACGTTCCATAACCCTTGATTGCAAATTCCGATTACTCCTCCCTATGTATGCGCGTCCAGACAAACCTGTAAATTGATAAATGCAATGGGATGTAATGTAATCATTCGAGCAATGTTTAGGTATATGTGAAATCATGGGGTTGGTCTTTTCAATAATAATCAGTTTAGCAGCGTTGTAAGTTTCCTCTATGACTGCTTGATTATTTATTCAATAACCTATGAAAGTCTCAGCCAGATTATACGCACTAGTACTGTATGTTATTGATATCTATTTAGATTATTTCAAAGTTCCGAATAAATTAAAACCGCCGTAGTTTACAATGTATCAATAATTACTAGAATGTATTCAATATTTTAAAAAAAATAGAGAAAGCTTTAAGAAAATAATCATAAAATATTTTTTATTTCATAATAATTTTCTATACTTTTGTTGCGGAAAAACAAACAAACAGAATCTGCCTGTTTATTATTTCTAATTCCCAAGGCGTTATACATTAACATACACACACACACACGCACCGACAAATGATTTCAGCGTTCTCATTAATTATAATTTCGTTCTTACTTACTGCCATATTAATGACAATTTAACTAAAATTTAATGACTTTAAATATATTTGTTATATATTTCAGTTTAATAATAATGCCCGTTCACATCCAAAAAAAAAAAAAAAAAAAAAAAAATATATATATATATATATATATATCAAGAGAGAGAGAGTCATAAATGCATGATATAATAAATTTAACACCTAAATCAGTGCCCATTTAATTACTTGTCAATAGCTAAAAGGACTGAAGTGAAAGACTAACAAGCACAACGCCTGGTATAATAGGGGTAAAATAAAAATTCATTGTTTTCTCCTTATATGATTTCCCCGGGAATTTCTAGTAGCAGAACCAATATTATTATTGTATGTGGGTGTTTTGTATAAGTAGAGAGGGTCAAAGCTATAGATAATAACTTTCAGACAGACATAATATGTATTTATATACGTATATAGTCACAGAAATAAACTGATGGTTGGTGTAGAAAGCAGACAACTAAACACTTTTCTTTATATATTTATCTATTGAATTGATGTAACCATTAATCGAGCCTTGGTGACTGACTACCAGTTTTTAAAACAAATTATACATACAGAATATATTTTTCATGTCATTTGTATTCATTTTAAACAATTCATTGTTATTAGTTGGTTGTCACGGTTTCTTTTACCTTCTAGAACAAAACAAACAAACAAATGAACATAATATGTATATGTGCGTGTGTGTCATTGTTCAATTATTTTCTTATTGGCTAAATAATCACAATCCCTTGAGACAACTGTCTAGAAATAATGAAATATATATATTTATAGCATGATTATTTAAAAGTGAACGAATGATTAGTTAAAACAACGCAGCAATAACAATAAAATTAAATAATTTTTTTTTTGAATGAATAAAGTTATAATTTGAAAAGTGATTTAATCAGGTTGAAATTAAGTAGCTCAACACTTATTGTTGCTTATCACAATTAACAGATCTACATTGTAACGAGTTACCGAGATAAACAAGAGAAAAAAAAATGAACACGATTTGGGTGAACTCTGTTGGAGTTGTTGTGTTCAACAAGTTAAATAGTTCAACTGTGGACAAAAAAAAAAAAAAAAAAAAAAACTACTAGTGCTTTCAAGTTATTTTGATGAATTTCTTTGTGATTAACAGTGTTCGTGAGTGATTTTTGGTCTCATCTTTTTGCATTCATTTCGATTCCTTTTTTTCAGTGGTTGATTGACCTCTCCCATTTAGATCGGTAAAATGGATCGATATTGATGTATTTATGTATTCGTAACTTATGTGAACGTCAGAACTTCAATAATTCGTTAATGTTCCAGCGATTCCGAATTTCAACGCTTCTGCAATGGAATTCATGTTCTCGTTTGTCCGCGTGAATGAGCCTCACTGGTAACTTATTGCATCGCTTCACTACTAATCTATACTCATATATCCGTAGTATGAGAGATATCCACTTTGTTCAATGTAATATTTCTCACATTCATCAAAGTTTATTTTGTAGATGGTGTTGTATCTGTCTTTACTTACTGTTATTGTTTTTCGGTTTACTGATGTTGTTCATACCGATAAACAACAGATCCGTGATTCAACCATTCAGGAAGAGTACTTGAAATAACAATAACACCGAATTATTAACAACAAAGAACACTACAGTTCCATTTCCGAAGCTATCACAATGCTGAACGTACTTACAATAAGCATAAATTCCAGTTCTAATGAAAAAACAATTTTCATTAAGTTGACATATCCCCTGTTGTTTGAAGATTTGTTTACTTCAGATTGACTTGTACATAATTAAATAGTTTAATTGAAATGATCACATGGTATTCATACTGGCGATTTACATAGTGTTTTGAACTCCGCGCATTACCTGTTGAGAGTATTCATAAGTTGAACCATTTATCTGTCACCTTGATCATGTTCGAAAAGTAGTTTTTCAACGGACTAATTGTTTGTGCCTATTCGACAATACTGTATCATGTTCGTTTTTGATGATGAGCTGAATAAGAAACTGAGACTAACAAGACATCTCTGACAAAACATAAGTTTATAACAGAACTGAAAGTCAAATCATCCACAGCTATGAAAATGCCTTCATTCCACTGACTTCAGTTCACGCGAGATATAGCCAACGAGATGGTGATACAGTGTCTAAGAGAATCCACAGTTCAAACATTTGTATCAGCCAAATGATGTCCTTCTTTCTTGAGTCTGTCGGTAGTGAGGACACGAAATAATTATAAAATGTCCTGTTACGTAGTCCTTAGGTGATTTTAAGGGTCATAATTTTCGTTTAGAATAATAAAAATCCCTGCTTTATCAATCGTAGTTGGCAACATGAACTAAAAAAAATTATGAATTTAATTTTCAAAGTTATTTTAAGAACTCCATCGAATTTGCTGCATACTGACAAACTTCATCTTTTAAATACAACAGAAGCCATAATTATACGCATCAATCCTTGTTTACAGAAAATGTTGGTTCAGCCTTCGAAATCACTGTGTCCTTCTTCGCTTTGGTCACTCACTATATTTCTCAACATCTTCATTTGTTTTTAATTTAAAAGATTTTGCAATTCTGTTTATTCTTTTGTTGGTTCTATTTATTTTATTGAAATGATTTTCTAACTTTTTCTCTAGATATTATTATTAATTATACACAATTGGTTTTACAAATAACAATCTTAATATTTATATTCAACCGCCTAATCGCAAACTCATTCATTTCTCATTATTACAATATTGGATTCTGATATTTGACTGACTGCATATTTTTATATTTAGGCTCGTTTTAAAACTTGCTGAACTTCTAACTGGTAAGATTTTTTAAAGGCAACATCACTAAATTGATCAATCATCGAATATATCTACGCCATAAACTATGTGATTAAAGGTCTTGATAGTATTTACTATCGGTAATTTATGATGATTTTTAGAAGTTACCAAACAATATTACGAACTGAACAAACAAATATCCAGCGCATCCGGTTTTTAAATGGTCATCTAATTCAAAACAATCGGTAACGTTAACTATGCAACTGAATATAAAACAAGTCAATGCACCTCATGCATAATTTACAAAGAAGAGTGAAAGAACAGCTCAAAATAATTAACATTTCACTTTTCATTATCCAACATTAAAGATTTTATGAAAATAACATTCTGTTTGTGGTGAATTTTTGTATCAATAAATTTGCATGTTATATGATGCATGTGATATCATGGCTAGTTGTTTTCGAAATGAAAAGTCACATTGACGGAGTAATATGCCAAAGTCTATAAACATAATATTGAGATTTAAACAAAATCCTATTTCTAATTAATTTCTAATAATTAAGTTAGAACAAACAATGCTGACTAAAGTATTCACTAATTTTCTAATGTTTTCTAATTTGAAGTTTAAATATGTTACATCGAATTGTCATAATAGTAGTGGTTGTTGTTGATGTTGCATTGATTCCATGCAATTTATGTAATCGTGTGGTAAAATTAATTCTGTAATTCAACCAGTCTACTTAAAGTTTGAATTATTTTCCTTCAAATTCTTGTAAGATTTTTAATTGAACCAGTTAAGTCCATTATGGGATTTGTTTAACAGATTTGCAAAATAAAAGTACAAAACGAAATGGATTTCAGAAATATGTACATTAATAATTTAAAAATGTAGGAGAATAAAATGTATCATATAGACATTTTAAAAAGTTATTGAACTGTTAGGATATTCATCCAATATCCTAAGAGAATTATTGGTCAATTCATATTGGTTAACTTCGATTGGTCAATTTTATGGTCGTCCTAGATATTAATGTCACGTACTCCAATTTTGTTTCTTATTGGTGGTCCTGATTATGAATATCACCTTTTATTCCTATTGGTCGCCTTAACTGTCACAAACTTCGATGCTGTTTCCTATTCGACCTAAATGTATAAATATGCATTGTCTATAACGTTTTATGACCAGGACGAGGACTCGGTCCCGGATCTCTGGTCTGGAATAGCGATACTCTTCTGAACTCGGACCTCGTACTTTCTGAATGGTTGTAGAATACATGTTCTACTTCATATCAAGTCTTTTTTTACTCAGTTGGGGTGTTGAATAACTCGGACTAGAGTAGCCTGTCGTGTCACCGGATCCTCGATCCTGGCTCTCATTTTCGGACTAAGGTAGCTCGTAGTAGTTCAAGCATATCAAATGATGTGTTTAAGTGCATGAGTAACATGAACATAGATCAACAACAAGAAATTAATTCAAGATAATGAAGAATGAATATTTCTAAAAATGGTAGATTATGTAATAATTGGTGATGACTCAGAATTTGTTAAAAAAAATTTTATTTCATCGTATGGTAGACAGCTAACTTAATACTGTGAATATGATATTCAATAATGACGGCCAATCGATGATATTGATAAGATTGATGACTTTATATTTATCATGTAATCATCTATCTGACTGTAAATGAGTTAAATCTAGAAATTTTTCAATGACTATTTACATTCAAATGCTATATAATATGCAGAAAGTAATTTATTATAAGTGGTTGTGAATTATTTGAAAAAAAAACGATTTCCATTCACATACAACAGAGTAAGAATAATAATACCAATAGCGTTACTAACGAAAAGCTCAAGTTTTGATAAGGTAAAACACTGCATGATATATTTCAATGGCATATTGCATACTGAAAATGCAAAGCATTGATTCATGTCTTTTTTTAATAATGATCCCAAATTAAATATATCAATACAGTAGTTCTCATCTACACCTACTGCCATTCATTCACACTATGTGGTTCTTTTGAAGCTAAATTTATAATAAGTGAAACTGATTACTAAGGTTTACAAAATTGTTACCCAGACTTAAATGATTTAAATAAATTAGAATGAATTTATTTGTGAAGATGTTGTAGATGAGATAATCGGTTCATTATGATAACCCAGCATTGATAACGATGTACTATGCACGAATGGAAATGTTGAGAATAAGTTAGGACAGTTTTGTTTTGTTTGAAAAGAAGGATCTTCAAACATTAAATGGCTTTCATCACTACTGGCTGATGAAGTTGAAAGATTCAGTGGATGAGAAATCTCTGTCCATTTGGTAATGTCAACATTTTTATTACTAGTAGTATTACTGGAAAGTTGAGCGTTATTCAGAAATTTTAGATTAGAATCTCCATGAGTTGCAACTTCATTTTCATGTCTCTTTGATATGATTTGTTTGTTCATGGTTTTTGGCGAGCATTTGCTATAGTTTTTAATTGGCTGATTATTCATATTTTCTTGTTCCATTACACTTTGTTTGAATTTATTTGTGTTATTGGTTACTGCAGTAGACGACTCCTTATCCCATGATTTCTTCGCCAAACTCTGTGGTTTGAGGTCATTGTGACTGGTTTTATCGGATAATCCAGCTGTTACTGTTGCTGGATTAAATGATGTTCTTATTCGTTTAGAAATTTCACCAGAAACGTTTTTGTTTTGTGGGAATTTTGAGTGAAACTCTGTAACTCCTGCAATAGGTGATTCATCTCCGTAACGTGTTGCACAATATAACTGCGTCACTCTGAGAAGGGTTTCTCTTAAATAGGGATCTTTACCTACAAAACACAAACATAAATTCTCTAAATGTTCTATAGCAAAACATTTAATCTTGAATAAAACTCGATAATTTAGCAGAAAAAAGTGATTGATGAAATGAATATGACTAGTCATTTAGTTATTACTTTAAAGTATCACTTAGAGTGTAGAGTTTTAGTTTTACAGTATCTTGACCACTAAATTTGTATGAAAACAATAAGCATTGATCTGAACACATTCCTTAGGTTATCAAGTTTTAAAAAATGCAACTAATTTTGTGAATAGTAAATATCATTTAAGAATGGTGTGTTTAATAAATTTACTTGTTTGATAGATATAAGCACCATAGTTTTGGCTGAAAGTATTCAAAATTGATGATGTGTTAGTTGTCAGTGTAAGGAAATTACGATTCATGATTTCAAATAATTAGACGCTTTGTAACTAGTCGAAATAAATGCTTATGCATCAGAAGTGTCTAAAGATGTATGAAACGACAATTGAATTTACACTACATCGATCAATGTGATCTTACGATCTTAACTAAGAGTCAACAAGCTTTCACTGGTAATGAATTATGGCACAACAGATAGACGATTATTTGAATTCCCATGTGTTGTATTATTCTCATCCGAAGTGATTGAGTTGAAGTTAATTGATAAAGAGCTGTTTTTGTAATTTCAACCAGTTCTTTTAAATAATTAGAAATTTACAGTAAATTTCACGGCGGATAGTGAATTACAGCTTAGTACTGAACCAGTGAAAAAATTTACTAGTAATATTATCATGTTTACATGGACTTCAATTTAATATAGAGTAACAAAACGCTGCCATTTCAAGACTTTGCTTAAAATCAACTTGAAGCCACCATCTAAATAACAGAACATAAATCGTTTATTCTATGACATAGATCACCTTCATATTAGTATGAAACACATAAGATCCCTTTGAATTAGAAATTAGACAGCTATCTTTAGAAAATGAAAATTGTGTTTTAAAGCAGAGTTTTTTAACTTGTAATTGGAATTATACTTATTGATAATAACGGTTAAGCAGTAGCAGTAAAATGTGGAAGTTCTGGTTCCGAAACCTTGATGAAGTCATGAGAGCGTGCTGCTAAGGATTTTCGTACTAGGATGAAACATCCCTACACTTGTGTCAGAGCTGAGACGAGACTAAGATGAATATAGCTTATAAATACTGACGTACTGTTAGTTGAAACAAACATGAAAAAAACTAACATTTCATTCTCTCAGAGTTATGTCATAAACAAAAATAATATTCAAATAATCTACAGCTCAGTGTACATGTGTATTAGCGGCATAGATTATGGAGAAAAGAAAGTGAAATCATAGAATCTATTTACGAAATAAAGTACACTGAAAATGAAATGATAATTTATTTCATAAATTATCAAATCACATATGTAATGGAACTTGAATTCATGAATCTACCTAGTTCAATTAAAAATAGACAAGATTTAATTCTATTAATTTATTTCAATCCGATGACCATTGATGGGTGCTTGCTCACAAGTGTCTAAACATAAATATCTATTCAATGACACATATATTCATATCCCAACCATCTGGTTCATGACCGTTTTTCTTTTCATTTCCCCAGCCACTTAACACAAACAGACAGATGGTTTTTTTCAGTTCACCGTGATAATTGTGACATAATTTTCACATTTATTCAACATTTTGTTTATTAAATTTACCAAATTTAAACCCAGTTTTCTAGATTGCCTAGTGGTTATAAACTTGTGTTTAAATTAAGCGAGACTGTATTAATATGAAGCCAATAGTAATCGATTACCTTTATGGAAGGAATTTAGTTGAATAGTGAATGTTAAGAAGGGGTCATATACGCCGAAAGTAAAATCTCATTTTTCATGAATCTATTCAAATCTAATATTATTTCACTTGAAAAATACCACCTTCTTGATTCGGATATTTTTTGACAAGTTAACTAAATTCATGAATTAATTCTAACAACACATATTCATTGTTTATAGGGATTTTCATTGTGCCTAGCGATGTTATCCAGGATACGTTGTTCTTTCCAGTTCAACCCTGGTCAGTTGGTGATTTCTATACTGAAATTTGAGACCAGAGTGTATTTTTCTGGTGGTCAAAGAGCTGCCCACTAAACTTCTCAATCCATATAGTTCATAACTTCTTACACAGCTCCGAAGTTGATATACCTTGCTACACATCATCACATGATTGAACTTTGATCCGTGTTTTTCAATACGTTTTAAGCAAAACGCCTAATTTAACTACAAAGTTTACCAGTAAAGTTATGTGAAAAAAACAATTAAAATTTACTGATAAATGAAGAGGAAATAAATTCTCTATTATGATTTTAAATTGAAAATATTCTGAGTGATTGTAGCTATTAAGAAAATTAGTGTATTCCACTGTGGCTTTCAAGATTGTCATAAGTAGTGTAACTCATCTAGTCACAACATTGATTGGATTAACTAGTTAACTTTCGATATGCGGTGATTTAAATCCATATTTTTCATAGACTAATATGATTGTCAGTTACACTTCTTATGATTGGTTTTTACAATGATAACTTGTTGTATTCGCACGATTGTTGCTCACCTCCAAAAAACCATTTCTAGTCAGTTGTAATTATAACTGATGTAAAACAAATGTAAGATCTTAATTCAATTTATTTCTAGTTTGAATTGAGAAAGGAATAAAATACCGACATTTTTCACGTTTTGTCTCATCAGATAACATAAATAATACATACTTAATTGTTTGTAAGCTACTCATCCACAAATCTGTGATAATGTAGATTCATGAATGTATTGTGTACACTTGTATGGAATCGAATATAGAAAATATATAGACGAGTAGTAAATCAGTGTATCAAAAAATTTATCGTGATTCCAGCTGGAAGTTGACGAAAAGCTTGACTCATTAAATTCTATCTCGTCTAGTTTAGTTTCTAAAATTAGTTCTATAAGGCTTTTCGCGGTAAAAAATTACAAAGTTTCTACCAGACTGTCATGAATAATCTGGCATTATAAGTGAACTGTAGCTAACTGATTTATGCGAACAAATCTCAAATAAAATAAACTTGATCTAGTACTCAACTGATTTTTAGTGATCAGTAATACAAACACAGTGAGAATAAGTTGTTCTAGCCTCATTAAAGTACATAATAAACGTGTGTTAACAGACAAGTAATATAGAAATTAAAATATATAATTCATATTAATTTGAACATAATATGTTTCCTTTCCTTTTTTCAACAAATTAAACTCTTAATAAAAACGGACACTACCAGATTCCAAAGGAAGTCATGAAAAATAACTAGACAATAATTTTACACAAACTAACTGCAAAACTACACACTGTTGTTGTTGTTGTCTGTCAGCTTAATGCTCATAGTGAATATATTTATGATATGAATTTATGTTTGGGCTTATAATTTATTGTACATATATATATACATATATGCATAGGTAATTATAAAAAGTCAATGCTCTAACTTTAAAATTTAATGAGTTATCAATAGTTAGTATGTATGTATATTTTTTTACTGATAAAGTTAAAATTTTAAAACGTTCACAATCCTCATTAAAAAAAAAGTTACTATTTTATGACATCTAGTAAAGGAAACAATTACAACTGAAAGTAATTAAATGATTATTGACAATGTAATAAAATTTGTAAATAATTAAAACAAAGAATTAAACTTATTTATAATATGGTGGTTAGAAGAAACGTTAGAAATAACTTGAATAAATAATAAGTAGAAAAAGAATAACAGTTTGATGTAATGCTGTTTACGACATTGTCTACACTGATATTTGATTTATACTAAATTTTTTAAACTTTTTCTTAGAGATCATATCTTGAACTTTTTATTTGTACAAAAAACCTTGAAAGTTAAACAAGTAAAGTCTAACAATCATATTACTTCATGGAAATGTCACAATTAACTAGTACATTAAAATTTGAAATATATTAGTATTTAGAAGCCCACGACTTGACTCCAGAGAGAAGCGAATTGGAGAAGGCAAGTGAGCCAACTCTCCGTGTGCTGAAGAATGACTAAGTTTTTTATAGTCAAGTAATTATAAGCTGGACATGTGATAGGCGAGTAAGCATCCATACACAATCAAATATTTTTTGAAACCATGAATCGATCAATGTTAGACTCCTCAGCAGGAGTCCCATACTGGGACGAAACGGCCGTCCAGTGCTTCCAGGTTTCTAATGGCGGTCTAACACTGATCGATTCATGGTTTCAAAAAATGTGTAACTTAACAATCTTCACAACCCCGTAATACAATCAAATATACAATAATCTATACTGTAATCAAAACTATTATCGAATAATTTAAATGACAACTCACTGAAGTACAATGAATGCATGGTGAAATGCTACAAAGATATATCTGCGAGTTTATATTATAACATTGAAATATAATTTAATAAATCATAACAGGGAATGCTTAACTCATTTAATGTGATATTAATTTGTGATTTTATAGCAAATTGCTAAATTTTAAATTAATCTGATAATTAATTTTTTTTCCTTTCTCAATGATTCTATTTTCCTAAGGTGTAGCTTAATCATGCACTTAAATATTATTGGAAGATGATACATTTCCAGATGGAGATATTGTTATTTTTAACTGGTTGCTTTGTTCTGATTATCTCTCTAACTACAATAACAAAATAATGTTCCCGATACGATTGTTGGAAGTATTAAGTTGAGAATGAAATTTTGAACATTATTAGTAAGTGTTTATATCATCGATTTGTTGATATTCAGAACTAAATGATCCGAAGCAAATTAACTCTTTGTAGTAAAATACATGAACTGCAGCTAAAAGCTGAACCTAGAATACGCAGATTTTTGTACCTGAATCCTAGTGTGGATTTTCATATTCGGACTCAACCTTAAAACCTCCCAAAACCAACGTATTATAGACTAGGCTAAGTAGGAGATGGGCAGTGGATTTGAGAGTATCAACGATGGATGGATACAGGTACAAGGTCTTAAACAGGACGAAAATCGCATTCTCAACTACTATATTGCATTAAAGATTAAAAAAATACAAAGCCAATAAAAAAACAACAAAGTTTAATTACCTGCAACAGTTGGTAACATAAGAGCTTGACGTTTCTCTTTCATTCGCCGATTTTGAAACCAAACCTAAATATAAATTAATTTTAATTAACTAACTTCCGTATAAAATGATAAAAACCATTCTTCAGAAAAAATATAATCTAGTAAGAAAGAGTATGTGAAGCATATCCAATGTTTGCAATAAACAGAACAGTTTGTTGGCTAAGTTAACTGGTTGATGCACTGTTCAGATGATTTAATATCGCGACACAAGATGAAATTTTGCAAATCTGAACTCTAAACTTCAAAATCTAAGTGGGATCTAATTAGACTACTGTAGATTCGCTGTGGAAAGACGAAAGAGATGAATGAATCTTAAAATTTTACTATTTGAACTACATGGGCACCGAAATCTAAATAATATAAGTTATACTTAGTTCTTATATTTCACTGTATGCAGTTTTGTTTAAAAATATAAAAGAATATGTGTAAGTTTGATATTTGGTACATGTTTACAAAATGATTTATTCATCTTAAATATAAGAAGGTATTTTTTTTATTTTGAACAAATTGTGATTAACCTACACGCGTAAACATTTTGTATATTTGCAAAAATTAAAGTAGCTTTTCGATTGTTTATTCTTAATCGACAGAGTTTACTTGATGATCGGTAAAAAGAATAATTTTACAGATTGTTATACCTAATTAATTTCGAATTATGAACACTGAACATTTATTTACTGAATTAAGAATTGAATTTTAAGAAAAGAAAACAATTTTTAATACCATTTTCTATCTTATAAATGTTTCAAAAGTCTTCATGGAACTGTAAAAAATTACACTTTTAGTTTATCAATAACTGAAACTGACTTTTTTTTACATGATCACAATACATCATTCTAATAAACAAAACTTTTCTGCATATCCAGTACATACTTGAAATACTACTAATAAGTATACAAAATAATAACTATTCTAAGTCATGTCATTATCGCTTACTTTGATTGTATTCTCTGGTAGATTCAATTCAACGGACAATTTAGCTCTTTGAGGTCGATTAATATAACGATCTAATCGGTAGGTTTTTTCCAACAATTCAATTTGTCTTTGTGAATAACTAGTTCGATAACGCTTTGACTGTTGTTCTTGCATTTCATTCGTAAATTCATCGTTTGTATGATTTATTTCAACAGATTTTTGATTCTTTCGATGTGATAAACATAATGAATGTTTAGGTTTAGTTAATGACTCGTCAATGGCTAATCCAGTTTCTAGTTTAATCGATGCACATGGTGGCTTTAATTGTTTTTGATTGTTAGTTATTTCTTCATTAGTTGAATTCATTTTACCGCTAAAAGTTTGTATGCTCGTAATATTCCTTTTATTTGTTATTTTACTATTGAATTTTCCTATTTCTGTATTCAATGATGAATTGTCCAGTCGAGATAAAGAATTATAATGATTTGATTGTTCATGATTTACATGAAATGGATAGTACTGATTTTCAAGTCGTTGGAAATCTTGAACCGATGAACTTTCAAAACCAGTGCCAGACTTTTCAAGTTCAAATGAATACTGTTCAATATTATCATTCGTATCTTTACTTTCATTGTTATTATAATTTTGAGGAAAATTATTATTTAAAGGAAGTGTTAGTTGCTTATCTTCAAAATCTGTATAACAATTAGTAGGCTTATCGATCATCGAATTGAAACATGGAGATCTACTATTCTTGAAAGCTTTTTCAGATAATGAATCATAGCTCTCAGTTGACAGTGTACTATTATTATATTGTGTAATATGAGAGTGTTGTTTAAGTTTTGTTGTAAGTTCATTGAAAAGTGCAAATGTTGATGAATAAGGTAGAAATGACGGGAAGGGTACATTCATCATGTTTTCCGCGGTTATTTTGATCTGACTAAAAGATTATAATATATCTGTAAAAATAAATTATTTGAAAACTATCAGCTAATATTCTCTTTTATTCTCAACAAATGAATAACTATTTTAGTAAAGGAATAATTATACTTCTAACTACTAGCAACTATATGGAAGAACCATTTGCTTTCATTGTTATGTATTCCAGCAAGTAACACATCTTAGTTGCATTCGCCCTGTTTTAAAACTGTGTATGCTATAATTATCGATGCTTGATAATAAGAACTTGTTGATTGATCATATAAAATTCAGAGTTAACTTTATCGCATGATATTTGTGTGCTTTTGTTTTGACTACTTTACACTGTACATCACAAATAGATTTAAATCATACGATTTGTAGAATTAGTCATTTTAACAAAATTGAGTAATTTAGGGTGATAAAATGACTTTCACAATTCACATCCATATTAAATCACCGACCACATATTAAGCAATATAATTAAATAGTACTAGTCAAGTAGAATTCAAGGAAAACTGGATCAATTCTAGATATCATTCTACAAATGTATACGACCTAAATCAATCTAATTAAATAAACCTAACACGCATAAAACCGAAGGTGGGAAGAATTCACACATTAGTCAAAAAAATAACTAGAATATAATTTAGTCAACTGACAGACCTAAATTTATATTTTTTTGAAATTAAATATGTGAATTTTTTTCAACTATTAATTTGGATATGAAATTGTGTAAAATGTGACAAGAACTTCACAATAAATGATTCATAAAGGTAGTTCTTGTCATAGACTGACATTATCTGGAGAACTGTTGATAGCCAAGAACCACTTGAGACTTACATTATCAAATCACTTAGTCAGCATAGCACTTTTAAACTACCTGACTGAAATCAGGCGATCTACATTTCTGGCTTCAGTTGATTCATAATAAACTCCGATACTTCACCTAATATCATCAATGATTATTTTCTAACTCCAGAAACAGTTAAACTATAATCGTCATCAGTAACTTTTACAAATCTAGTCACCCAGTAGAAAATTAGTCATTCATGGGATTTTATTCTTTATACATAAAACTGCGAGAGTAGTTTAAGTAGAATTTATCAATAATTATAACTGTTGGATTATAAAACATCAATGTAACTTACTGAACAGTCAATAAAATGTTCTGAATAGATTACCGCGATACAAATAATAATCATGATCAATTAAAATTTTAATCATCCAAACATGTTGTATTCTCTTTCAATGTCAATTGAAACTATTTTAATCTTTTAATTTTTAAAAATAATAATTTGAGTTCATCAGTTGTAATGAGTTGATTTAAAAATCGCATAGAATAGTTTTACATTCACTAACATTTGATTGGTCGGACAGGAAAATTTTCATAATTTTCTTTCCCTTTTGTTAATAAGAGATGTAATATGAAAGGGAAGAAAATGAAATTCAGTTTGAGTAGAAGAATATGAAGAATGATAAATGGCAAAGAATTATTTTGCTTTTTTTATATTTAATTCAGAAAACGTATCAATGAAGGGGTTTTGTGAGAATTGTTTTAGTCTCTAGGTGATATTCATTTAGGATTGGTCATATTTGGGAAACCATAGAAAACTACAATCACTGAACAACAGTTTCATTCTAGTGTGGGACTTATCAACAGTAAACATACGCAACCTGAAAACACTTCAGACCGAAATCCATCTGGCCTCCCAGAACTACCCACCAGTGAATACTAAATCAGCTGAGCTAGATCAGTGATGAAAGTCGTGTACAAACTAGTAACAATTAAACAAATACAACTAAAGATAAAAGGTTTTATATATATAATAAGAATGGCCACTTAATTAATGAATTGATTTATAGAATAACTAAAATCTTAGAGTTCAACCGAACTTTGAAAAGTCCAGTTGATATGAAACTAAGATGTAGCTTAAACCTTCGAAGTCGAAGTTATATATCTAATAAAAATGTTTTTAAAACGTTCAACAAAAATTTTTTACTAACATTCACCTTGCGGAAAATCCTGTAAAAGGTAGTTAGATGGAGCATAGTGCATAATCCTAACATCAAAAAAACTAACATCTGGTTGTATAAAGAAACTGGCAACGTAGGATTTGCTATTTAACGATCGAAGAAAATTAAAGTTCTTCATTCCATATCATAATTTCACATTAGATCAATATAAACTAAAATAAACGCTAATATGATCATTATTTTAAAGTACTTCATATTAAGGAGTTTACAGAAATGTTCGAAATGCAACTGATATCACAGAATCCATAATAATGATAGGAATACTAGATGCAAGAACAAACAAAGTTAAAACCTTAGGGTAGTTATATGTAGGGAACTATGCTTGTTTAATAAATAATCATCACTCAATTTTATAGTTTAATTACAACTTGTCTACAATGCTTCACTGTGGAATATGTGGTCTTCTAGCTATTTTGTAATGAGGAGCCTATCAGAGTGAATCAGATTTATCCTAACAAGCGCTATAAAACAACTATTTAGTTATAAAGAGTTTTACACTAGTCCGAAGCTCTAACCTTCTCAATTTCACTGAACACATTCATCAATAAACATTTCTGAGTTTGTAGCAGTAAAATACTTGCAAATAGCTGCCGGTGAAATACTAATGCACTCCAAAGTATCCGTTGTATGTAGTAGCATAGTTAATGAAGAGTTGTAGTTCATGTTAAATTGACTAGGGGGATCGGCTACTCTAGAATAAAATGGTTAAATAAGCCAAAGTACACCGTTTGAGCATGATTGCATTGATATCAACAATTTTATTCAATATACATTTCCAGTTTGTTTGTATGAAGTGACATTATTTGACAATAGTGCAGCTTTTACTAACACATTTGTAAAAGAATTTCCGATCTATTAGGCTAATAGTGAAGTAAACATCGACCAAAATATTATTGTTGGAAACTAACAACCACTTATTCATCAATTGTGTATTTGTCTCACTTTACCCAGACGATTGACTGATCAATTCTGAGATAATCATCAATGCTTTCACATATTTTCACATGTTTGTTTGTAATCTTTCCGTTGCTTTTAAACGGATATTCATCGTCGTTTGTTAAGTAAACTGTAGGAATGTGATTTTATCACAAGCTAAAATTAGTAACTTGTTTGATATTACTGTCTGTACAAATAATCAGCTTATGATTAATACTTGCTTGGTGTTTTTATTCAAAAAGAATGTTGTAGGTCAATTGTGATTGTCAAATAAACACAACTGATATACCCAGTGAATAAATTATTCTTTTGATGATCTCATGATTATTTGACCAGAATTGTCGTTGTAGCATTGTTCATACAAGTATCTTCCTCATACATGAAAGAGGATATTATTAGCTTTAGACATAATTGGTGTTAACTAGAGGGAAAATAGCTTACTCATTACAATTTACCGATTTGATTATTTTATAGTCAATTAAGGTCAATGCCATTGAAGATTAATCGAAAACTTTAGATTGTCTGATATTTTACAAATAAAATGTTTTGATATGAGCAGATAAAGTATGCTAAAATATTATTCTTGTAAGTTGTTCCAATTACAAACCAGTTATTTAGTAAAATTAAATATCGTTTCAAAAATCCAGCGATCATTCAAAGTTTTATGTTTTATTGTTTCGCAATAGTATCAGAATATCAAACGATGTTACAGAATAAAGATACAATAAATGGAAACGAAGCGAATTTATTATAGCACCTAAAAGAGTTGTTTGATTCAAGAGCTAGACATAATTCCAAAAAAATGTGTACGTTTCAGTAGTTGGACATTTCAATAATCTGAGACATTGAATAGCATAGCGAAGAAACCCAACGAAAATATTCTCAAACATACAGTTGTCAGTATCCTCTGCAATCACTCTTGTGTCACAGAATGCCATACTACACGAATTTAACATAAATTATGAATCCTGATTTAAGACAATACATTCATATTGATTTCTTGTAAAAATTAATTCCGTCAATTCAGGTATGGTGAAGTAAGAACTCAATTACGAGATGTGTATGGATAAGCAGTGAAATGGAATCTCACTATTTAGGTCTGGATTATGTTACTACTTTACACATAAAACAACATTAACATAGTTGTTGTTTCAGTTGAAGTTTCAAAATTCGACAGAAAACTATTGTTTTATTATGGAGAAATCTGTTCCAAAAAACTTGATATAAGTTGGTATCATACTCATACGAGTGAATGAAATGCAACATGTTCAAATGACAACTGTCAGAATGCTGACTAACATTATATGAAGTTTAATCAGGAATTATTTTATTCAACTGGAAAACTTCGAGAGAAGTCAAAATCAAATACGTAGGTCCTCTACCGAATTTCAAAAATTAGCAAAATATTCATAGCGGCACTACTTCGATAAATATAGGGACCAGGGTGGTTCCGAAGTTCACGCTGTTCGGCATCAAAATAAATCTTGCAGTTCAACAACCTTTGGTCCTTCGAACGTCATTTCTGTTCCTGATGCTAATCACTGCACACCGGTCAGAAGAAGCCCTTCTCATCATGTTGGCACTGTGGAGGCTGGCATTATGTGAAGTGCTGTCTATTCAAACAGTATGTGTGTGGTCACTGTCAGAAGGTTGGTCACCAGAACGGACTTTACCAATCAGACCGATTCAATATCCATCGAAATGCACTGATGCAGCGTCGTTTTCCCAAAAAGCCAGTTGCCTCATCAAAATGTGTAGCAGCAGTCTTCCACAACCATGCTGGTACTCGATTCAAATTTCTAACTATCTCAATCAAGAGTTAGCCAGTTCGGTTGCAGTTGGATACTGCATCGGATATCGCCAATCTTTCGGAAAAATGTTGATGAAGTTTGGACCAACCACGAATCAAATCTTCCTCGCAGACCGCCTTCAGCGCCTAGGAGGGTCATATCCACCCTCACGATGAACTCGAATGCTGCATTTCGTTCAGAGGTTTAGCCTTGAGTGAAACGCGTTACATCACC